TGTGCATGTGCAGAGGTGACGTTAAAAAAAAAAAAAATTTTAATACACAAATTTACACGAATTCGAATTATGGCTTGTGAAGGGAAGAAACTCCGTTCAGCGTGGTAAGCAAATGGAGGCAAATCGGACAGGCGCCGAAACGTATACAAAGGGTGCTCCCCTTGACTGTCCTTAGTCCTTTCGTTCTTGAAATTTTCCGATTATTCCAGGGATACGACCCTTCCTTAGCAGATCTTCATACTCGGCACACTTGGTCTAAAAAGGAGATCATTTGGCAGCATATTTTACCACTTCAATTATTATATATGGATCGCATTTACTTAAAAAGAAGTATTATTGAACGGTCGTTTGAAGGATTACCCTGACTCCTCCAACTAGCTTATCCTTCCACGGCTCAATATTTTCAACAATCTTCTGTTTTACTTTATCCTTCTTACTGGTTTTGCACACTTTTCCATCTGTCCTTTGTCCCTTTCCTTTGAATTTCTAAAGCGGATTAAGAGCCCATTTGTGATGTTTGCACAGGTACACACACAGCAAAGGGGGGGCCCAAAATGCTACGGGAAACGGCTGTATGGAGATCCCTTTAATGCTAAATGGAATCCACTTAGCAGTGGCGTGACTCCCCTTTATAGTTCATTTATTTTTACTTTATTTTACTCTATTTTATATTATTTTATTTTTTCTTCCACTTACGCTTTCTTCCACGGACACGGGCTCCTCTACATATTGCACACCTGTGATGTGAGTGCATGTAGAAGTATGTAGCAATGGCTACCTTCAAATGGATACATAAATAAATGCAAACGTTGGTGGGTGCAAGTGTTATTACCTTTGGTGTAGTCCACTGGCTCTTCAAATTCAACCTCGACGTCCGTTTCGATAATAGTGCAAGCGAAGGCGGGTTTCAAGTCCTGTGTTCCGTGGAAAGGGTGCATAAATATTCTTGTAAATGTGTAGATGCGACGCATGGGATGGGTTGCTAAAAACCGATCCGTTGACGCAAACACGTTTGGGCCATTCCGAGCCACTCCAAAAAAAAAAACTGTACCACAATCTTTATCTCGTAGGTGTTTCCCAAGTAGTGAATGACTATATTGTCGCCAATGGTCAGGGTGGCGTAATTCCGCAGGGCCGTTTCAAGACTGAATGGAGACAATAAAAAAAAAAAAAAAAAAAAAAAAAAAGGAAACCGTTTTTCATATTTCAGCCTAATCAATCACGCACAAACAGATGCTCCAAATATAGCTACACACACATTTCCGTGTTAACCAGAGGGGAAGGGGGGGGGTACCCCCTTTGCCCTGAACCCATGTAACTGTACACAGCTCTGTGGTTGGAGAGTTCCATAAAATCCGTCGAGCACGGCTTCAGTTTAACAAATGTTCCTTTGGGTAGGCTAACGCTGGTGACCCTCACGATGTCTCCTTCCTTCAGGCACAGCTGTTGCATCATCTGCGAAGGGAGGGCACAGAATAAATGCCGTTTACACGCATCTGCATAGATACACCATTCATGTGTGCTCTATTAAAGTTGGACGCTCCCGTGCGCGTCGTTTTCGCTTGGCGACTTCTGCCCTGTTGTGCCAGTCCACCGCCCCTTACCCAGTATGGCATGTGGCACGTCCCCTCATCTGAAATAAACTCTAGAACCCCACTGTGTGTGCGCTTCTCCTGTAATGCAATTTGGAAGAGATAAATTTTGTTGTCCGTGAGTAACTCTCAGAACAGGTGTGTCCAAGGGAGCTTCCTCCTGTTACACTTGGGGTCATCATTCAAATGGCTTCATCCGATGGAGACCCCTTCATGAAAAAAACGACTCTTACCGTGTACGGGTTAGAAACTTCGAACAGCATTGGCCATGAAATATGCCTCCTAGCTAGGGCATTCAGAGCTGTCTGTGGAAGTATAACTTGGGATAGAGAAACGAAAGGGAAGATGGATTACTCAATTGTGTAGAAGTAGCCCCACGTGACGGAGAAATTAAATCCGCCCCTCACACGGTTAATCGTTTTCAACACGTAGTATAATCCGTTTAACGCGGTTCATCCAAATGGTTTATTATGTATGCACAGCCGCTGTGCCTGACGAAGTGGGTTGAGCTGACAGTGGCCATCCAGCATAGCAGCACGGCTGGGTAAGCACGATCAGCAGAAAAAGAGCTGTTACTTTTGTTTCCATTTTCCATGTCATCTTTCCCAATGAATGACACAGGATAGCAAGTGTATTCTTCCGTGAACGGTTCGGATATGTTTAAAAAGTCTCTTCCCAGGAAATTATTAAAATTGGTAAAACTCCACTGCAGGAAGGAGAATAAAGACAAATTTTTCCTTCACCTTTTTTTTTTTTTTTTTTT